TTTTTTTTTTTTTTTAAATATCAACACATCTTAATTAAAGTTGAAATGACACTCGTCATACTTTGATTTAAATTATGCAAAGATAAAAAAAGAGTGATAAAATAGCTTTTCAATGATACATTACGAGTCTAACTCGGTGAAGTTTTGACTTAGTTATTTAAGTTTTTCTTAAACCAATCTCTGAAAAAGAACTCAAAAAACAGCGTCTAATATCTCATTATTAGGATTCTATTGAATTTTTTTGTAAGTTTAATGCATATTTTTTAAGTTAAAACTGTTTTGCCATCTGAGGTGATTTAAAAAAAAAAAATACTTTAAAAACTATTTTTATTCATAAAAAAACCAAGGAGGTATTTTCAAATCGGTCCAGCTCACGTAAATCTTAATATTTTTCCGAAATGTTTTGGTGCAATTCTTAAAATATAATAGATTTTATAATTCCAATGGAAAAACAGTAGTAGAGTGATGCAATCTAATGCACATATGTATTCTAGTATACTTACATACATACAAATTGTACTTCGGAAAGATTTTATTCTTTCACGTCGGCTTCTAACCACTTATTTCTAAAAAAGAGAAAACTTGAAAAATTTCACTCCGGAATCCTCCCACAAAATTATAAGATTCCTACAGCTTTCAATTCATTTAATTTTGGCTGCATTTCTTTATTCATTCTGAACGTTTGGAATAAACTTTTTTGTTTATTTATTCTTTAGAACGTTCCTGATGATATGTTGACGTATATTTCAAACGCATTCTGTTTATTCCGGCTGTGAAATGGGATTATCCGGAATGTATAAAGAAACGCAGCCAATATATTATTACAACGACTGATTTTTCGTTTAAAAATCTGTTGTTTGAAATTTTTTCAAAGACAGTTGAAAAACAATTTTTTTTTGTAGCTGGCAGTTTGATTTTGATAGATGCCATAATGGCAGCAAAGGACAAATGGCTAACATGGCGCCAAAATCATTGAGTGAAACTATCTTCTTTTTTGTATCATGATGAAAATGTCCATCAAATACTCCCATCACGTTTTTAAGGCCAATGTGCAAAAAATTATGAAAACAAATGTATGTATACATGTGATTTTGTATCTTCTTTCAACTTATGTCCTTATTTAAAGGTCTCTTTTTAACCAATTTGCAAATGTGTTAGTAAGATAAATGAGAATGTGTTAGTTTCCATGACCCAATTCTTGTAGGGCCGTCATCATGCGTATTTAAGCTCAGTTACCCACAGACGTAAAAACGTAGAACGTATCAGCTGAGACCATCTATCTTATGGCATCTGCGTGTTAACAAAAACTCACCACCGCATGCCCGTGACATAGACATTGCATCTCTCTCCTTCTATCAACAGCAAACTTGATATGTTTCAACGTACTTCTACGCTACGCTACGTACACGTTCGTGGGTAACCGCGCTCTTAACCTAAAATTTCATATTTGGTATAAATAAGGGTACAAACGGTAAGAGCAGGATGCAGATTTTGAACTCCAGTGATCTTACTCAAATCATTGAACAGCTTTACTTTATCAGACCCTTGTTGCAAAAAAACTTTGCTTTAGTATTAATTAAAACGCTAAGGCCCCTATTATGAGTTGCATTCGATTTTCGATCTTCGCTGGCTATCGAAGATCGAAAGTGAAATTCGTATTATGGCTATGCAAGCGTATCGAAATTTTCGTTGAGTATCGAATTTTCTGTTGAACAGAATTTTGCTTTCGTTGGTGTAGCGGAGTGTTAAAAAATTTTAAAAATGTATGATTTTGCATTTATTTTCTTACTTTTTGGCGGCTAGACACTAATTTTAAACAATTTGTATTATATTCAAGCAGTTCTAACGTCGTGAATAGTAAACAAAAGCGCGAAAGTCTGGTTTTACATATGAAAGAAAATCCCTATACGCTATTGGCACGATCTCTGAAAACAAAAACATGGAGCTGTTTATAGTTTTAATATATTTTAAATAGATTTGGATCACAAAATTTCTTAAATATATTGTATGTCAAAATATATTCGAAATACTGCACTTAAACTGTCACGTTTTTTGCTCCTAGCCAGTTTTCTAAGCCCTCATCCTCTGACGAATCGTTCAACCAGAACTCCGTTGTGCTAATTAAATTTTTTTTACCACGCTTTTATAAACTCGCTTTCGTTTTTATTTCATTTTAGGTGCAATCCCGTATTCCTCGGACTCGGACAAGTAAAACTGCCAAAAAATTAAAATTCACTCTGAGCGAGAGAGTAACATTGAAATGTACGAGATCGCTTTCTAGTAAAAAATGGTAACTTCTGTCAACTTCAACATAACTTCCAAATTTCGGTTGTAAATTTTTGCTTATTTTGTATGTAAACACATCCAGCTCACACATGTAAATAACCAAAAATACTTTCAAATTCATTAGAATCTACTTAAACAAGTAATTAAATACTTTTCAACATGAATTAGCAGAGTGCACTTTTCTTTTGTTTACAATTTGGTTGCCAAACACACTACAGCTGATCGTTTGACACATTTACCAGAATTTACCAGCAAAAAATTCTCGGACTAAAACTGGTAACTTCTGACAGAGAGAGAACCGTATTTACTCTCTTTTTTGTCCTCTCAATAGTCAGAGAACCGAGTACGGGATCGATTTCCAGTAAAATCTGACTGATTCTGACTATTTCTGACTAGTCCGGACTTGTACGGGATCGCAACTTTTAATTTTCACAAATTTACATATGTATGTACATATGTATAAGCACCAAGGAATGAAACCGATTCAAAATAACGTTCCGGTTTGGGTTTCGGTTTTGCCAAGTGTTTCGGTTTCGGTTTTGGTTTCGTTCTTCAAAATTTATTTCGGTTTTGGTTTCGGTTTCGTTCCGGTTTCGATTTTTCACAGAAATTTTGTTGATATTATTTAAATCACAATGTCTTAAACGTTGAGGAAAGAAAATCGAAAATTACAGTTCACTGATAATATCAACACTAGGTTCTTTCCCTAACAATCCGGACCGGATTTGGTAATTAGAGAATAAGAGAAACATTTTCTTTCAAAAATGGAACNCACTATTGTGAACAACCTAAACGAGCGAAATTCACAATAGCGGTTTTCTCCATCGAATGTGCGCCATAATACCAAATGAAAATTCGATCGATCAGCACTTTCGACCACAGTCGAAGATCGAATGCAACTCATAATAGGGGCCTAAATCTCATCTAAATTTGATATGAAATTAAAATAGAAAATTTATTTCGGGCTCGCCAAATGTAAGCCAATGTACATATTTTGTATATGCTCGGGCATATGTATACAAATATGTGTGCATGTAATTTGTACGATATTTTTATGTCACATATTTTCCGCATACCAAAACGATATAGATACATACTAAAGGGCTGCAAGAGTTAAGCTGAAATTAGTCAAGAACGTAAACCTACCGGTACGTAAATCCGAGTCAGCTGACACGATCTGTCTTACCAGAGCGCCATGTAAATGAAAACTCAACACCGCAGAATTTTTCTGTAGTTGTAGCCCGTAGCGCAGAAATCTGCGGAATTTAGATTTTTCCGTGTCAGCTGATTTCTTCCTTCTATAGATGGTTGCCACTTCGTCAGTTTTGTAGATGGCAAAAAAGTTATAATGTCCTATTCAAAATACGTTTAAAATATTTGAAATTTACTATTGAATAAGGTTCTTTGTTGAAAACTAAGTAGTTTATATTTAGCTACGATCTATTATAGCACGAAAAATTGTAGTTGAAAAGGTAAGTTTATGAAAAGGCATTGATGAGTGGCAACACTGTAGTAAGCAACACTGAGGGCTCCAGTAATCGACAAAATTCTGCGTATATAGACTGCGTTTAAGTATACGTTCTGCGTTCTTGACTAATTTCAGCTTTAACTCATGAATTCATCCCATAACTCGAGTCTAGCGCCGCTGTTGAGTTGAATCGATCGTTAAAAGGCCGTTCGCACCAGGCGATTTTGCGTTCAACTCACGCAGGGTTGCACAAAAAAAAATTGAATGGCTAAAAATAACAAAATAGCCCTGCGTGAGTTGAACGCAAAAGTTGAACGCAAAATCGCCTCGTGCGAAGCAGTGGTTGGTGGTGTGATGAATTAACAAGTTTATCCGCTAGTGAAAGACAAGAACTCACATATTTTCTTAGTATCTGCATTCAACTAGTTTCAACTCAACAGCGGCGCTAGACTCGAGTTTATTTATGAGTTGATTCTTGCAGCCCTTTTAATACATATGTACATAAATTATTTTGCATACATTTTTGAAAATCGTTTTCAGGTTTATATACTAAAACAGCTTCAATTTTTTCGCGAAAGCCTGTAGTTTTAGAAACAATTTTGTTATCAATTTGATTACAATGTTTTTTCCAATGAATTAAGTAAATTCGTTAAACTAAAGTCATTTAAGAAAAAATAAAATATTATATGCAAACATACATAGAAGTAAAATTTTTATCAGGATATTTTAAACAATCTTTTATAAATACGCAACTAAATGTCGATAATAAACATGCGTCAAAGGACATGTTTTGGTTAAAAGACGTATCATTTAAATATTTACAAGAATACCCACTAAAGAACTAAACATAAAACAAGGTGATACACTATTATGTAGGTAGTAACATGAGAAGGAATCCTTAAATTTGCCCTTATCGATTTAAATTTCCATTGATATGGCGATTCCCATTTCCTGACGTTTTCGTAGATGTTTCATCGAAATTATCGTTAAAGAGCTCGGAAGCGGTAAGTTTGGCTAGATTAGATGCCGTTTCTGTTGCCATTGATGCAATACGCGCATCGCCAGCGCCATTTAAATGCAAGTTATTGTTGATTCTCAAGTGATCCAACTGCTCCTCGAGAAGGGAATCCTCCGCTGCTCTTAAATTCCCATTACTAATCGACAAGTTCTCGTTACGACGTAGAGATTGAGGCGAGTTTAAATTGGTTTGATCAAATGCCAATGATTCCGGGCCAACAGCATAGTAAGGGGAACGCGGTCGCGGAATGTCATCAGCAGGCAAGGCAAAACCATGCGAAATTAACATGTGGCCAATATTGACTTCTACTCCTGGAAATATGATAACAATTATATATGTCTAAACAGCAAGAGTATTTTAATTTGTACCTTCAGTCAAGTCGAAAAGTTCAACACCGGGTATAGGTGAACTCTCGCGAGCTGGGGCAGTATCGACTATGGCCTTTTGACGCTCTTTGTATGTAACAGCGCGGGAAATTAATTTTTTCCAGTTCGCAACTGCAGGAAAATAAACATTAATTTGCTTATAATCATATCTCAAATATACTTCATTTTCCTTTTACACGATTTTGTCTCATACTCGAAATTTTACTATATACATATGTACATTTTTTTTTATCGAACAAGTTAGGAGATTCGGAAAAAAATTATTTTCGCACGTGTTTTTTTAATTCCCCGACTAACCATGTAAAAAGGGAATAAGGTAAGTGTATACACCTTATACTTGCCTTGGGTAAGTTCCTCAAACTTTTGAATTGATTGTGTTTCCCAAGTGTCTGGATCATTCAATATTGTAGACTTAACTCCGGCTAAAAAGCATTCCACTGCTTGAAATCTATTGTGTTTGAAATATGTAATTTTAAAGGTAATACTACATGAATTGTGTGAATTTAATATACCTTAAAGTCAGAAAATCTGTACGCAGCTCAAATACTTCGTGAGGGGATACATATTCACTGTCACCGTAATCAACGAAATACAGGTCCAATACTACTTCGTTTGGGTTGTATTGATTTGGCAAAATGCCAACAATTTCTGCACGATACCACTTCCCATCGTATTTAAATATGGCTGCTACTATTTGCCCTAGATACGGTTCTTGGATTTGATGGCGAGCCTTATTCTCTGGTTCACTATAATAGTCTGTCATTGATTGGACCATGTCATCCAGTTTCTTCGATTGTGGGCCAATTATTTGTACCCAGAACTTAGAAGGCGAAGCAATAGCAGAAACGTATACCTCCATAGGCTTTTCCTCGTCTCGAGCTGCGAGCATTTTTTCACGAGGCAGCAAATGGGAGCTCAATGATGTTTGTGAAGAATACATACTAGAATTTATGCTATTCGAAGGGGAGCGCCGAGGTTCCCGTCGGTGCTCAACTTCTTCAACGGCCCGACGAAGTTCTTCGTCCTCTTCAATTTTTTCCTCAAGCAATTTGCGGGCGATATTTACCTACAAAAAGTATGAAATTTTTTTAAAATTATGAATTATATGTTCATGTGAGGCTTGAAATTTTAAACTAAACTTTGCAAAACAAAAATTCAGTAAGAATGGAGTGCATATTTATTTTTACAGAACGGTGTTTTAAAGTCCCTACATATGTAATTACAAAAAACATTTTGTCTCACCTGTTGCTGGTTGCCGGTAATAAGAATGCGACGTCTGTCCTTAGCTCCGCCACTACGACCCCCGCCTGAATCCACAGCCACCTTAGCCAAGGAGATGCGGCATATTTCTTGCATTGCTTCGCCACATCGTCCCATAATTTTGCCACACACACTTTGCGGCACCCAGATTTCTTCCTTGATAATAGGCGCCCTTTCGATCTCTTTAAGCAGCAATGAACGCGCTTGTTTGACGCCATTTGCGTTACCAGTTATATCACAGATTTTGTACTTCTCATTTTTGTCTCTATAATTGAATAGACACATACATTCTTAGGTATAAATAAAGTAGAAACATTTTTGTGTAAGAAGAACTCACTTCAAACGAATTTTGGTACGTGTCTGTTGTTCAATAGAGCTTAAATTAGCTCCGCCGCGACCTACACACAGCGGTATGTGCTCATTTGATATCTCAAAATTAATTTGTATCTCTTTTCCTTTTTGTTTTGGAGAGTTAGTTGGTGCCGGCTTTCCTCTTCTCTGTTTTACTCCTGGTTTCTGTTGTGCCACATCCTCGTCTTCGTCGCGAGTTTTAAAGTAAGCGTATAGCATAGCGCCACCCAAAGTGCATAGACCAAAGCCGAGGATTAATTTATATGTCGGCAAGTCGGCGAAAGCGTTATGCCGTAGCATATTTAAAATATAATTTTTTTATTTTTAATAATACAAAAAGCTAAAAAATAGTAAAAGAAAAATAGAAAAATGATAAAAATGTACAGCAAATTTGTTTTTAAGTGCACGAATATTTAAATAAGCTCGGTATAAATACTGCTATTCACAAAATTGGGCGAACGCTTTTTTATGTTAATATTCGCAATGTTTAACATGCTTAAATTTTTTATTAAAATATGGCTTATATTTTATTATTATTACACTAAAATTTGATGGGCTATGAAACTGCATACCTTAATTGTTTTAGAAATTCTTACTAAAATGTTTGCGATTTTGCTGAAACTTTGTAGATTTTTCGTAACTTCCGTACACGGTTTCATTATTGGATTTAAATGGGGTTTGCTAAATTATAATCCATATTTTAATACAAAATGAACAAACAAATTTTAACGAATATTAACAAAAAAAGCCGTACGCTCAATTTTGTGTGTAACAGTACATTTTTTTTTTTTTAGTTTTTTGGGGTGCTACCCCCTGAAATGGTTGCATATAAGGAGAAAATATGTCTCATTTAATATTGACTCAATTGATAATGATGACACATCGTGCATTTCGCGTCAAGCGGACAGGGGAAAAAATTATAGTTTAAAAAACTAAAACTCGCTACGCAATTTTAGAATGGAAATTGCTGCATCTTTTAGGCGCATCATTTTACATAGTTCCATCCCAAGCTAATTAAATCGAGGTAAAAAAGGGTGATGCTATAGAATTCCTTTATATTTTGGGTAATTGTACCTGTGTGAGATATGAAATTGTGTACATATTTTTTTTTTTATATGATGGTTACTTTTCGAGTTATTGGCTTCCAAAGAATAGTAAAAATTAAAATTAGGTGTTTTGTAAAGTAATTTTTTGTATTGAAAAAAAAATAATTAAAAAAATTTTTAAACTTCGCGATTTGGTGTAAAAATGTCTCGCTTTTTAAAATGCGAAATAGATTTAATAAAAAAAAACATTTTATACCACATCGGAAATGAAAATTTAAAAACAAAATTTGAGAAACTTCGACCAATTTTTTTTTAATATATATATGGCCCTTATTATGAGCTATGCAAGCGTGTCGAAATTTTCGTTGAGTATCGAATTTTCTGTCGAACAGAATTTTGCTTTCGTTGGTGTAGCGAAGTGTTAGAAAATTGTGAAAAATGTATGATTTTGCATTTGTTTTCTTACTTTTTGGCGGGTAGACACTAACTTTAAAAAATGTTTATTAATTTTATGCAGTTCTAACGTCGTGCATACTAAACACAAAGGCTGGTTTTACTTATGAAAGAAAATCCCAAAGGCTGGTTTTACTTATGAAAGAATACTCTGTTGGCACGATCTCTGAGAACAAAATCATAGAGCTGTTTACAGTTTTAATATATTTTAAATAGATTTGGATCACAAAATTTCTTAAATATATAGTATGCCAAAATATATTCGAAAGACTACACTTAAACTCTCTCAAAATTTTTCTAAGCTCTCACCCTTCTGACGAATCGTTGAACCAGAACTCCGTTGTACTAATTTTTACCACGTTTTTATAAACTCGCTTTACTTTTTATTTAATTTTAATTTGCGCAAATTTACATAAATATGTATAAGCACACTATTTAGTTTGCTCGATTTGTAAACAAAGCTTCTGCGCGGTGAAAATATACTATTGTTAACAACCTAAACGCGCGAAATTCACAATAGCGCTATTTTTCATCGAATGAGCGCCATAATACCAAATGAAAATTCGTTCGATCAGCACTTTCGACCACAGTCGAAGATCGAATGCAACTCATAATAATAATATTTTTATTTATATTTTTTTTTAATATAGCCTCAGGTATAATTATAATACCCTAAAAGTTTTAGAGTATGATCTGAATTAGTTTGGGAGTACGTATGATGCTACATACGTGCAGTTTTAAAATTGGTTTGGCACCGGCCGCTTCACAATCTCCACTCAACTTCTGTCCAGTGACGTTTTTATAGGCAGTTTGTGTGATGCCCTGGACACTCTGAAACGACATGCTTATATTGCAAAGGAACAGTCGCTTTATTTTAAGAATCCTAGGGAAAATTTTGACGAAGGAGAAGTCGTCGTACAGTGTGATTTTGCAGAAAATTATAGTTTTGTTGTCTCAAGATGCCGCCCAGGCTTTCCATTGGAACAACGACCAGGCAACACTCTTCACCTCGGTTTTTCGTTATAAAGATGTGTAGGGATCTTATTGTTGTTATTTATTTGTTTGGAAATGGTTCTACTTTGTACTTATTTCTACTTTGTACTTATTTTTAATTTAAAGAATATTAGAATATTATGTTGTGATTTCTTTCAAGAAGAAAATTTGTGGTATTCCAAGACGAATTTATATAAGGTGGTGTTACTAGCTCAGCTGATTTTGTGTATGTGTTTCGCCGCACGGCTTCTGATATCAAATTGAAAAATTTTGTTTGAATTTCTACACACACTCTTACAGATTTTTAGAGTTCATGCCGCCAAAGCAAAAACAAAATACATGTAAATTTTTGTTTTGTACTCCTGCTATCACCTTATATTAATTCGCCTTGTGATATTCATTGTGAAATTTCATAAAGAACTTGTTGGTCATTAAATCAAAATATTTTTGATTATTAAAAATAAAATCATTAATTTATTTCACTTAAACACCTGGAATTGTGATTCTACATTTGGCGACCCTGCCCAAGTAATCTAGGGATCTTATTGTTGTTATTTATTTGTTTGGAGATACTTTGTCCTTATTTCAACTTTGTACTTATATTTAATTTAAAGAATATTAGAATGTTATGTTGTGATTTCTTTCAAGAAGAAAATTCAGAAGAAAGAAGATATTCAAGAAGAAAGAAGATATTCATTGCCCAATTTCATAAAGAGCTTTTTGGTCATTAAAATAAAATATTTATGATTATTAAAAGTAAAACTCTTAAATGCCTGCAATTGTGATTCGACAAGATGGAATTGAAATAAAACACAGCAGCATTGTAATGATCTCGGATGACTTAAAACATGATACGGCCACTTTTTACGCTTTCCAAAAAATTCTACACTAGCACCTTTTAGAAAAAGCAATAGCTGCATCGAAAATTATATATGTATATAACAGGCCAAATCCATCTCAAATCAGGCAGGCTGACAACTTCACATCGTAAATTTGATTGCCGATGAAATATGTTACTCTACAAGGAAAATGAGAGGATACGTATTTTTTCTTTTTTTTGGAAAAAACGATTTTTAATAAATATATGCACATATCAATTTTGAATTATAAAAATAAAAAAAAAAAACGAAACAAAAATTGTGTTTTGATTCTTATAGGTGGCCCAGCTTTCATTGAAAATTCGTTTGAAATTTACAAAACTTAAAATTTACAAAATGGCGGCCAATTTTGTAAAAAGAATAAAAGTTAATTTTCTCGAAAAATGCACTCTTTTTTTCCTCAAAATTTTACAACAAATTTTTACCAATAATAGGAATTAATACAAATTTGAAACGGGCTAAACTATTTTTGAAGTCAGGAGATTTTTTTCCAAAATGAAAAAAAAAACTTTATTTGGCAAATATGATAAATATTATATTAATCTTATTATATTATTACATATTTAAAAATAAATAGTTTGCCAATTATGTTCAGCTATTCTGGCCATGTTGCCGCTGTGGTGTGGTGCTAAGCAGTGCGCGCTTCCACTCCGCAGGGCCTGGGTTCAAGCCCTGGTGAAAGACACATCGCAAAAAAATTTTGAAAAAAGGTTTTTTCTTAACAGCGGTCGTCCCTCGGCAGGCAATGGCAAACCGCCGAGTGTATTTCTGCCATGAAAAACAACTTATCATAAAAATACAATCGCCGTTCGGAATCGGCGTAAAACTGTAGGTCCCTCCCCTTTGTGTGTTGAATTTGAGTTAATGTCGGTATATTTGCCTCCGAAATTTATGTTCAGACGTTACTGAAAAAGGAAGTGATTTTGATATGACCATCAAAATCAGCCGATTCGCGCAAATTGTCATGCATGGAGAGCGAAATCTACAAAAATACTTTGAAGAGAAAATAATGAAGTTTACAAAATGTGATATAAAAGCAAACTAAAGGTTGGATTAACTTTAAAACAATTGTATATGTCAAAAAATTTATTTATTTAAAGCGATATTGTTGTATTTTATTAGAAGATATAGTGCTTAAAACCACTGCTATTTAGAGCTTTGTTTCAAGAAGTAAGAGGGGCAAATCAGATTTCTCAAATAAGTGTGAAAAGAAATATGAAATAAGAATATGCCTTTTTGACACAAAAATTAGAGAATTCGAATTGCATGCATTTTTTGCGATCGGATTCCAAACCAAAACATTTTTTCAGAGTATTCTGAATTGTAAAGAAATTTTAAAGAATTCGTAAAGATTTTTTTTGCCGAATTTTCTAAAATAAAATAAACTGTGCACACTTCTATTCTTTTACGAAATTTCGGAAGAAAATCGGTAAAGCAATGAAAACAATGCTGCTATGTGACGAATTTCTTGCAGAAGTTTTTTCAGGATTTTCTTTATTTTTCGTACAGATATTTCTTTACGAGTTCGTGTCAATGAATGACACTCCCTTAACTCCCTTACAAAAACTTTGTACACACACACGAACCCACACACAGTGCCTTGCTAAGAGAGCCGATTTTGTCAAGAGGGAGTGAGAAAACTGTTTTTTGAGCAAACCTTTTATTACTGAATCAAGGTGTCAACCACTTCATATAACTTTCTTTGAAGATTCGTAAAAAAAATCGTTACAGAAATGAGATTATCCTAAAGATTTCGTTCAGATTTGGGGAACTTTGGTTTGCAGGGTATATACATAAGTATGTATGTATATATGCATGTATGCATCAGAGATAGGCGCGGGATATCGGGACCACGGTACTGATTTCAAAATGACTGGGATGGGCTTTAGGGGACGCACAATTGAGCCTTGCGCTTTTTTTCCAAGCTCTT